CTCCTATCATAATTCGCCGAGGGGAGAAGTTGCTACTTGGGTCACTAAGGCCTCGGTAAGTTTCTTTTTGTTTTAATAACGCGGGATTGAGGCCTTTCATAGGATATAACATCATGGCAGTTTTGTTGCCATGCATTCATTTTGAGTCCCACATGAGTTTATTTTGACGTTGCTACGTTAAAAAAGGGACAGGTCTAGGATCGTAAAGGATTTCAACATGTGAAGAATCATTAATTATACTAAGTTCGGTGAAAAATAGTTTCTAACCTGTGCTCACCAAATGATGTCGCTGATGGTTTCGTATCGAACGTGACGAAGGAAAAACAGTCTTTGTTACCGATGTAAATGCCGCCCTCAATGCATCCGACATGTTTGTTTGTGTTTTTTCAACCTTCCCACGATGCAATGGTTACGCGAAATAGAGTTGCCTGTCCCATAACTCCCTGCGCTCTTGCAGCGGTCAAGACAAAATGGCGAATCTCTGGCGAGTTGGTAAACAAGTATTTTCAGTTATGTGTTCTATTGATGCTCCATACTAATTATATTTACTTTTGAAAACTCTCTAAGCACGAAAGATTACAATGCACAATTCTTTGGCGATCAGAACTATTTCGGTGTCGTCTAAAAGACTTGCATATAGTAAGTACGAACTTTGAGCTTTGGGTAACTTCGAAATATCATGCTCTTTTAACTGTTGTGGAAAAGGCGTTTAAATGGGTAACGTTTGTGTTTCTTTTAGAATACATATCAAAGGAACCACAAGACATACCAATGGATTGGCATAGTGCCACGGAAAGGAATGCGCAGTCGCTTTTCATCACAGAGTTGCTAAGAGGTAAACAAATTGAACTATTTTCAGAGCTCGATTCGGCGCAAAAAACGATCTGTTTCAGCGGCACCTTCACAGGAGGGGCCTAGTAAGCGGTCCCCTCTAGAGCTCAGAGGCCCTAAGCTCCAAGATACTCTGTTTAAACCCAATTTATTTTGATGATTACATCCTCCTCTCCCCCCCTCCCCTTAAACTATGGTCTCACCCTTTCGTCATGAGTTAAGGTTGCCTCGATTAATTAATGTGATGTTGTATTTCTTGTTGAGCATGGCATTTACCGTGGGTCAGATATCAATTTTGAGATAAGTCAGAGCACCATATAAGAGTTTTCCCACCCCCCACCCTTGTTGCATAACTTGTTGATGGTTAACCTGTGAAACAGGGGTACCCTCTGGAAAGAGAGAAACTCTACAGCTCAAAACAACCCCTTTTGAATACTCTTCATTGGTTCATCCACCATATAAACTTCTAGTCACTGGCAATGATCATTCAAGTTTTTCCCTCAGCTTGTGACACAACCCTACAGTGTTTTAGATATGATTCAACCCACCCAATATGCTATCTACATTCTCAAACAACAACAAAATCCCTTGCACATGGGGATAAAGTTGAACAAGGTTTGTTCACATACAACACTGGTAATTACTGAGGACAATCATCTGAACTTGGCTACAAATAACATCTGTATAACAATCTACGTTTTTCCCCAAAATAGATGTATTACATAACGATGGAGTGCTATATAACATTTATATTTCCAGGTCTTCAAATGACATTGAGCAAGATGTTCCAGGAGCCAGCAACAATAAATTATCCTTTTGAGAAAGGCCCTTTGAGTCCTCGGTTCAGAGGGGAGCATGCATTGAGGAGATACCCATCTGGAGAAGAGAGGTGCATTGCTTGCAAGCTGTGTGAAGCTATCTGTCCTGCACAGGTTCGTACACATTCATGTGTTTTTTCAGAACTGAAAAACATTCACTTCTTTCTTCTTGGTGTAATATTTAGGCTTTACAACCAGCCTCTGAGAGGGAAATAAATCCATCACAACCCTCCCATGAAGAGGTGTGGGAGTGTCCTCTATTGGATGATCAGAGACTGAATTCTAGTGGGTGACAGAAACTGAGCCTATGTGACAAATTAAGTTAACTTGTCTGCTATATACTCCTAGAAATTGATATCTAAGATGCTTATAGTATAAGCTTTGAACATTTACAAGGTTAGTCTAAAAAATTAAAGCAAATAGATGTTTACCTTGAGATCTCTGAGGTTTGCAGTTGGGAAGAAAAGCTTAAAAACAAACAAACAAACAAAAAAAAACAACACAATACTACACCAAATCCTGTCTACCCACTGAACTATGAAGCCCAGGAAGTGGTAGTCATATTTTTAGGGACAAAGGCAAATTGTCTTAATGCCAAGATAAATGCTCAATCACCAACTTAACAATCTGAAGTGTTAATCAGGTAGCTAACTAATGTTTCTCAAGTTTTTGTTTGTTGTAATTTACAGGCAATCACCATAGAGGCAGAACCTAGAGCTGATGGAAGTCGACGAACAACTCGCTATGATATTGACATGACAAAATGCATCTACTGTGGCTTTTGTCAGGAAGCTTGTCCTGTGGATGCTATTGTGGAGGTATTAAGAATTACAAATGAATGATTTTGTGATTGATACAATATTTAAACTAGCAAAGCGAATAAAGTAGTTCTCAAATACTTATGATTTTGCTTGGAAATAGGGCCAAAACTTATTGAGACATTGGTTTCCAACATGAAAGGTTGTTAAGGTTCACTTGGGTGTAAATTTATTAAAATTTAGTTTGGATGCTGTTAAAAAAATAGAAAAATATCCATGGACAAATTTTGTTGGTTTTACACAACTAAAAGGACATACACAGTATAGTTTTACTATCTTAGATAATGAAACTTTGTCATAATACCCTCTTACCATATATTTTGATGGGTGCTGTTTCTTTTTTTTTTTATCACTTATGTGCCCCACTCCCTTAAAACTGGTACACAGTAGAATCCAAATATTCAAGTGTCTCCTTGAATGTTACTTTTCTATGACAAGTTTGTTTCCTAATGGTATTTGTCTTTTTTCCAAGGGTCCCAACTTTGAATTTGCTACTGAAACTCATCAGGAGCTGCTTTACAACAAAGAAAAACTTCTCAATAATGGTGACAGATGGGAGGCTGAAATAGCTGGGAATCTTCAGGCAGATTTTCTTTACAGATGAAAGAATTCTGTCATTTAAACCTTTGATTTCCAACTTTGTAAAAAGTGAGGTCTGTTCTTTACCTTGTGCTAAACAAGACCTTAACAAAGACAGGAGGTGCATGTTAAAGATAGGCCAGTTAAAGGGTGTCTTTTACCTCAACTGCATTATCTTCATCAAGGACTGTTTAACAGGCACATGTTTAGCAAAGCAATTAAGTAATGATTATACCCATGATTGTGTGAGATAAATAAATATCTGGGTTCGGTAATGTGTATGTTCATCTCTTGCATGAGTTTGTTTATTGATTGAAGAGGAAAATTCAAAATTAAATAAAAATTGAAATTTTGAAAACATTGATCAACTTCCATTAAGAGCATCTGAATGCATCAATGTAATTTCAACTAATATTACATTTTATGAGCTTGGCCATTGAAAGCCTCAATTAAAAATAATGCATAGCCGAAATTTACACATGGGCTAACTGTGAACAACTCTTACACCACCAGCCAATCAATTGGCCACATAACATTCCTGGTAATTTAGAGGGGTGTGTGTAATGCAAAGCAACAGTTGTCAACTGCTGCTAAGTGGTAATTAAGACAGAGCACATCATAGTAAAGAAATTTTGAATAGTTAGAAATTTTGTTTATCAAATGTCCTCTTGACTTTGAAGTGCCTCTGCCCGGTGAGGGCTATTTGCATTTGAATCTGAAGTTTGTTCCATGCCATTGCCATTTTTGAGTAAATCTCGCCATTTTTGAATAGTTAGAAATTTTGCTTATCGAATGTCCTCTTGACTTTGAAGTGCCTCTGCCCAGTGAGGGCTATTTGCATTTGAATCTGAAGTTTGTTCCGTGCCATTGCCATTTTTGAGTAAATCTCGCCATAGAAATGTGTGATAACAAATTGGGCAATCTCCCTCTATAGGGACCAGATATGAATTGTCCTCACTTTCGATAAGGAACCTTTTAGCCAAACAGATGAGATGAGCTTTCATTGGACAGCTCTCTGAAATACACGAAAGGCAGTCATCTGCATCCTGAAATAAAATAAAATTCTTCTTAGCTCCCTCTAGTCACAATAGCAGATATCTGGGTTTTACCCAAGTTCAAATGCTCTCAAATAAATACAGAATGGATGATAAACATTGGAATGGACAGCTCTTTCAACTTTCATTCTGTGGTGTTTCATCTTAAGAAGGGCTCCTAACTAGAACTAGTATTTTTTGTGACAGCTTAACTATCCTGCATGCAAAAGTCCCTATCTAACTTGCAATGTAAAGTACATTCAAGGACAAGAATTTCTAAGATTATAGGGTGAAAAAGGGTGACGAAAAGTTGTCACACTCAGAGACAGTAAGAATACATGCTAGCAAAGCAGCAATGCTCCTACTGTACAACATGCATACCTTGATCTTTTCAGAGCAAACCACGCAAGTAAAGTGGGAAATACTGACATCTTTTAATTCCTCTTTAGCTCCCTTCTTGCTTTTCTCAGGTTTTCTTTTATTTAGAGGACCATATGCTATAGGCATATGAGTGGGTGGTTGCTTTTCAAACTCCATTTTGTACTCTTGCTTCAACCATCTTATTGTAAGAGGAAGTCGATTCCAAGGACCAACGTTAAGCATCTCTGAGAGAACTCTAAAGCGAAATTCAATATCTTTTTCTTTAGTCTTTTTGTTAGAGATATGGCGAAGACGTCTGGATTTTCCTGGATTTTGCCAAGCCCACTCAAACTGTGTAGTCATGATGAAATAAATATTAAGACAAACAATTCAAATCAATATCAAGAAAGAATGATAGGGAAATTTAAGAGAGATGGAAACATTCACCTGTAAGGCAATAATATCACTAGGGAACCCATGTATAATCAAAATCATCTCCCTGTTGACAAGATCAAGATTGTTTGTGTTAAAATTTGATAGAACAGTTTAAATTATAATCTCACAAATGGGCCTTTAAGATCTAAAGAAGCCAACATATATCCACTTGTGCACCTTAGAAAAATTTACCGTCAATTTTTCAAGTTTGAAATTTGCATTCATGTCAATTTTTTTCTGCCCGGATTATCCTTGTTCCCTTGTTTTCTTCCCTTCTTTCAGCCAAAATATTCATAAAACTCTTTCAAGAGAAGGGGTGACTAAAAAACAAATCCACCTTACAATATCCGGAAATGATCACAGACACTGGGTATGAAGCGAAGGGAAAATTATCAACTGGGTGAAAGTTTGATTTAACACAAAATTCTCAAGCAAAAGTTGAACAAACCAACAACTCAAAAATCATTACGGTCGTCATCAACGAAGACATCTAGATTCTGACATATGATCTACGTCAGTAATCAAGTTAGTCTATACTGGAAGCAATACTGTAGTAAAAAATTTTAATGTAAATGCAGCATTTAAGCAAGAAGAGAAAATTTATTACGCTCGGACTACACTTTTCATTTACCATGGGCCTCGGCCACTAGTTTTGGAAGCACCTCCTTTCTGCACCCCTCCATTATGCTGTTTGATCCTACGATTAGGATCAACAGTAAATCCGATATAAGAGCGTCCCTTGTAGCGAGGATTTAGACAGTACAGAAGATAAACACCAAAGAAGCCTGCCTCTATATCATTAACGCATTCGTCCATTTATTATCAAACTTTCGCATCATGTTCCACTAAATCCAATCAAGTCGTCGATCGACTCGTTGATCGAAAAAGAACTGGGGACAAGTCCCTTTCATCAGTGCCAGTCCCTCTCGTTATTCCTCGTTTTTCTTCAACAGTAAGGAAGCTCCGTTATGGTTGCGCGCTCGACTTACTCTTTGCATACATCTTATGAAAATAAGAGTCGATTTTCAATTGATAGTCTTCCTGTTTAGCTCTTTTTTTTTCCAGTAAATTCCACAGAAGCCTCCTGAAACCTACAAATACACAACAAAACCCCTCTCCAATAGGCTCTCCATTGTGGGACTCCATTCCCACTCTACAGGCATAGTCCCCTCTACCCCTTAGCAAATACTTTAGAATTGTTATTTATTTGGTTCAAAATATACCTGTAATTGAAAGCCTTTCATAGTTTTCAAGTAAAAATAATGTAAAACTATGTATGATATTGAAAAAAAAGCTGAAAACAGAAAGAAATTACCCCTTGTTCTCATCCCTGAATTTTAATCAGCCCTTCCCAACATAAAGGCCCTTGTGTGGAAGGCCTGAAAATTAATAAGCATTTACAATCTCTATTTCTCTCAGACAAAGGGACAACCATGTATTCTTCTTGACATATGCTCACAACCAGTGACACCACTGAATGCCAATTTCTTCCAAAGTTTGGCAATACAATGAACACAAAAACTTATTTGGTTAACTTAAATATTTATATTATTTATTAGCAATCTTACTCAATCACAAGGCTTACCAAGCTTCCAATTCTTAATGTGAGTATGAATTACTTTCATGAACAAAAACTTTGGCAGTCTGTTTCTTGAGTAATAAGAAGAGACTGGTATGGAAGAATATGACTTCCTTGTCAATACTTATTTCTTGCACTTAAATTAGCAACACTCACCAAGCTGTATGACAAAGGAAGCACTTAGCACAGTCTCAAATAAAAAATATATCATACAGAAAACTGCCTTGCTGTTTTAAACCTCAATAAAATAGTGTGTATAAAAAATATATTCCAAGAAACTCAAACCAGATTTTGTTCTGTCTCTTTCAAGGTTTGCTTGATTGAAAACATTATTCTCTCATTACTGAAATAAGACATTCAACTTGGAAAAACAAGTTTCTATTTTCCCCTTACTGAAAAGCAGTTGTCACCAAAATAACACTACAAGTGCAAAACAATGGTATTTATTTTCTTTTATAGAAAGATAGCAGTGGACATTTACAACAGTTGAAATCAGTTCTCACAGCATATAATTCACCAATGATAACCCATCATCAAGAAATTGAAGCACATAAAGTTTGCAGGAGAAAAGTCCCAATTCACAAGAAAGCCTAGCAGGACAAGGCATTCCTAGTCTATTAAATAATTCATAATTCTTCTGTCATTCATCATCATCTTCAGCATTCTGGACATATCGGTGCTTGATGTGATTCCACAATTTCTGGTGGTAAAATAAGGCAAAAGATATTGTTTGTTTTTTTTGTTCAAGCTAATTCAAAACTATGATGTATTCACATGATTTTTGATTACCTAAAATCAGAGCTGAAGAGAAAATGTGAATAGCAACTTTCTCTTGGACAGGATTGTTATAGGATTTCATAAGAGGACACTTACCATGTTGGTGCTAGGGTGACTTTTCTAATTATTTATCATGGTTTACAGTCACCCCATTATCAAATATTTAAACAAAAGTCAGACAGTTCCATATTAGAGATAGATGCCTCTCCTTTAAGTTTCTATGTGATAATAATCTGGGTCTGTGTATCTTTCTTCAGGGCTCGACACTGACGGTAGCCAACTAGCTACAGACTGGTAGAAATTCAGTTTTGGCTAGTGGTTTTCAATTTCCACACGCCAGTTTGGCTAGTAAATTAAAAAGTTTGTGTTGAGCCTTGTTTTTTACTGATTGAAGTACTTGCCAAACTTACTTACAAAGAAGTACTTGCCATTACAGACACCAAATAAAATACCTGAATTTCTTGTTCTAATGATTCATAATTCACCTTGTTATCCTTTAGTTCAATTTGTCATAACCTACAAATTCTGTATCACAAGTAGTACATCTGCCAGAACACTTAAATGCTTTTAAGTAATGTACTGTAGTCGACTAACTGAGTATAGTGCATGCAGTTACCCACTACAACAAATAGTTCGGTTTCCATGATTTCTGGAAAATGCTGATCAAATTCTGATTAAAAGCTATACATTAAAACCTAACTGATTTATTTTAGATAACACCAAAAATTTCATAAAATGGTGTACATTTAATATTTCCTTGCGATATTACTCTATCAATTGAGTATTGTTTGATCTTATATTTGTGTCGAATAACCTCACTGACGCGGTTAATAACTAAATGTATTTCTTTCACATTACTATCACTCAAGTATAAGCTTTAGCTCTCTACTTCACAACCTTAAGTTTAGCATGAAACTAAATATGCTGAATATGCAGCTAAATATTGGGTAAGCTCACCCCTCGGTTCATGGTTTCCCAGACGTTATCCATTCCGACATCAAAGATTCTCTCAAATGTAAATGCTCCAACAAAAATAGTTACAGCGAAGGTGGAAGTTCGCCGGAATAAGGCGTTGTAAACTGTTCTCCCAATACTCATCGTCAGTCTTGAATCTTGAACCGTAAAAAGTTTGAACCGGCTTTTACGTGCAAAGATGGCGGCTGTTGTACTTAATTTTTAACAAGGGATGATGGTCAGGTTTGCAATGTTAGAAAGACTTATGGGATATCTACGTCATTTTGGCGCCAATTGTTCACCATCTTCACCATCGTTCGAATTTCGCAGTGAAGCGTTCCGTGATTTCGCCGCTAAATATTGGAGTTATTTAATTTTTTCTGAACGATCGAATGTCGACTATGTTGTGCGATAGCTCGCTGGTGAACGCTGAAGACATGGATGTTCAAGAAACGAGTGCTTTTAGGTTCAGCGAAGTGCCTTCTTTGGAGAAAATGTGAGCTAACTCTGCACTCGTTTGCATATAACATATGCATTACACATACTCACTTACAGCTAGTAATGAGTTTCTTCACTTCGATTTTTTATCGATATGAGTGCAGGTTGATATGAATTAATCTATTATTAAGATGTTCAATTTTTTGTTTCTTTCTTTACTTTCAGCCGACAGATGCAGTCCAAGTTCGCTAAAGAAAGAGACTGGGATCAATTTCACCAGCCCAGAAATCTTGTGCTTGCAATGGTATAAAACCTTGCTAATTAATCACTGATAATGAACCTGTCTTAGGGATTGAACTACCTGATGTACACTTGACTTTCTGCACCTCTTTTTGTGCTTTAGTTTCCAAGAAAAACAAACCTTTTTCTTTCTCTTGCAAAATGAAGATCATTGGGGTCCCTGTTGTTTAAGAATACAGCTGCTTAATATGTGAAAGGAGGGTTCACAAAATTTGAATCATTTCTCTTGTACATGCTCTCAATGACATTGTCTCCTTTATTTGGTTCTCATAATTTGTAAAAAGGAGGACACAACTTAAGTTAAGTTTTGGTCCTAACCAAAGATAGGCTCCCCACTTTAATATGGTGGCAGTCTTCTCTGACCGCATGTGTTTTCCAAGTAACAATTGGAGAAAAGGCAAACTTTTTGTTTTAATTTCTCATGAATTCTCAGTATAGATCTTCTGTTTTAATATATTTATTTAGTTTTTATCCCTGCTTTTGTCATAGGTTGGAGAAGTTGGAGAAGTAGCAGAATTATTGTAAGTAAAATATTACTGATTTAAAGATTATTGTCCTGTTGTACCCCAAACATTAATTAAATAATTGCCTAGCTTTTAAAATTATCTTTTCCCTTATCTTTTTTCATATTTATAGCCAATGGAAAGGTGAAGTAAAGGAAGGACTCCCAGGTGAGTACAAGAAGTGTCCTTACTTTCTTTTCAGGACCATCTCCACCACAAAATAACTGAAAGAAAGAAAGCAACACTCCTTTCTCTTGTAAGTTATAAGTCTAGAGCCATGTGGCCCACAAATAAATTGCATGAAACAACTAGGAATACTGCTACTGTCTCCCTTGGATGAGGTGCTAGTCCATTGAAAATTAGTTCCTTCCACTCTCCCTATCAACACAGGAGCAGGCAAAGTTGTGAAAAAATTTGAAATTTTTTTCCAGGTAAGGTGAGAAAAATGTTTGGGGGCCATGATTTTAGCCAAAACTGTTCCTATTCATAAGTCAGGCCAAGCCTATTTGGTCATTGGCCCTGTAATAACCCTTTAACTGTGGCTTATAAATACAGGTGTTTAATGTTAACTTGTAAAAACTTCCTGAAGAAGTCTATGACAGTTAAAGGAAATGCATTGGGGAAAAAGATGTTTTGCAACCACGGTCCACAGAGTGCTGCTTACTAGTTTAGTTTTAAAAAATTAAAAGATCTTTAAAAAGTTATTCAACAATGTTAAACCTTAAAATACAGAAACTTGAGATTCCAATTTTTTTCCAAGTGTACACAACTGAAGGAAATGATCTGGCCATCTAAAGATTTGACTGACAAAAGCTATTTTTGAGCAGACATTTTTTATTGACCTGCGGTCATTTCAAGCCTTCAGGACCAGAGCATAAGGCCACTCATTATGTTGTGTTTTTGGGCAAAATGCTTAACTCTTATAGTACCTCTCCAGTCCTAGGAATGTAACTGAGAAATGCCCCAAGCAAATCATCAGAGAAACATGATGGAAAGGAGGGAATGGCCTGTAAATGGACTAGAATCAGAAAAATCCAAAGCCAAGGTTTCAGAGATTAAAGAATTCAAATGTATCTCATGAATAGTTCTTATATTAAAAACAAGTAGCAAACAAAACTTAGAAATCAGAAGATTACAACTGTACATTGTACTGGGTGAATTTTGAACCACATCTCCAGGGTTTTCCTTCTCAAAGAAAGTTGAAGTCGGATGAAAGGAAAGCAGGTGGAGACAATTTGGGTGCGTAGCGCCCAACCTGAGTGCCAAAGGCATGAACAACTAGGGGGGTCCAGGGGCATGCTGCCCCAGAAATTTTGAAAATTTGCGTGATCTGAGATGCAATCTGTTGCATTTTGGGTGCTTAAATTAAGGAAATGAACAGGCTTAACAACACAAGAAATAACAATGTATTTGATAAAATGCAGCCCTTTTCTGCCACGTTGATTGGCAATACTGGGCACATTACTTATAAATATTAATGTAAAACAACACTTGAATCTATCTGGAAGAATTTCACATAAAGATATATTGACACAGAAATGAAAGGTAAACAAAAATACAAACATCACAGAAAATATTTTGCAATTGCATCCCACATGATCGGTTGAGACGTACTTTACTTCGGACTTGACCCAAGATAATATTTGTTAAGCTTTCGCTTAGTGAGAATAAGTAGTTCCTAGTTAAAGTATATCTGTTCTAACTAAAACAGTTAAAAGCAGATAAATCAAGAAGATAATTGAGCTTTCAAATAGTAATTTATTTAAATGCAAAAATAGAATGATTTATGTATCTTGAAGCTTGAAGGGATGCCAGTGATGCATGACTTGACTGCGCAAATTTGTAATGGGCCGTTCATTCTAAGTGTACTTTATGGCGACCCCTCACAGAAATATGGTTGAACCCCCTAAGAAAAAATATAGCATTGACCCCCCCTCCCCCCAAGAAATCCTAGGCCTTCAATAGGGGGGGTGTGGATATTAAATGGAATGGCCCAATGAATGTCGCGTACCAGTACACGCGTAAAAATTCTTCTTTGTTTTTTGCTGAAATATGTACTTTTCATCGATTTCCGTTTCTTATACGTCATTGTCAGACAACATACAAAGTGTTTATTATTTGTCTAAAATATTTAAAATTATATAACAGCAACGACTTTTTAGGTTGCTGGTGACGGAGCCATTCGCAGGCGGTGAAAATCGCTGGTCACTGGCCAAAAAGGAAAACCCTGCATCTCAGCAAATTGTTTGTGATTGCTTTTTCCAGATTGGTCTCCCAAAGAGAAGCATCATCTAGCCCAAGAACTCAGCGATGTACTTGTTTACTTGGTGAGACTTGCAGAAAAATGTCATGTTGATCTACCCAAGGAAGTAGTGGCTAAAATAGCACTGAATTCTAAGAAATATCCTGCTGATCTGGTAAAGGGATCAAGCAAAAAGTATACAGAATACAAGGAAATGAATTCATCAAATAACTGAAAGATTGTTTCCTTACCCAGGCAGGATAATTCTGATATTTTATGTAAATCAAGAATGCTGATCACTACTCAATAGACAGTGCTAAAATTATACTGGCTCAAAATTATTAAAATAGTTTAGATACAGTTTTTATAATGCACCTGAATTAACTTGTTTCAATATTTATTGTTGCAACAATCTGAGACTTCATCCAGTTGACCTCTGATATTCTAATAAGGTGAAAGTTTGTCACAAGTAAGGCTTTATCCTTGAAAGAGTTCCTCACTTCAAAATTAAGTTATTATTTCAAGAAACTATTAACAACTTGAGTACCACCAGTGCGTGTATCAATTGGAATACCAAAATGTTTACATGACTTGTGACAATGATATAGCACCACTCGTAAAGTCATAAAGGCTTTGAGAAATCCAATTGATAAAATTGTTAGAGATACTTATTCTCTTAATGGATAGGATTGGTATAAATTTGTAAATACACAGATATAAATAGGCTCCTAATTCTCTTGCTTGCATGGGCTAGACCATGCCATTCATGTTTGAAGTTGTTTTATTTCAGTCTGTATAAGATAGCAAAACTGTGATGATTTATCCCAGATGGCTTTTTACAACACAATGCGTAGGCAATGTTTATTGTTGAGGAACACAGATATCAATGTTGTTTTGTTTACACGGTGAGGTGTTTCTAAATTAACTGGTTTTTTTTAATTTTGCAGTTGATATTCCATTTTACCTTGTGTAAATTTTTTGTTCATTTTTAACTTTTTTTCTAAATATCCTGTTGTGATTTATACAGTTTGATGAAATTGCTATTTGTATGTCATGTAGATAGTTAACAGGGAAATCTTCTTTTGAAATAACCAGAAATTGAAATGAAGTTAGCTTTGCTTCTTTATTTTACCAATTCTTGTTTTTAATTCAGTTACAAACCTTAAGGAACATTTCTTTAGTATAAATTGTGGTGAAGTGGAAATGAGAGAATGAAGTTTACATTAACTTATCATGAGTAAATATTTACTGCTTCACTTGAACTATTGTTTGGATGCTAAAATTTTATAGAGGGTTTCAAATGACATTGTGGGAGCCACATTGGTGTATTAAGACAATAAAATGTTGGCTATTTTAGTGTAATAAGTCAATCCTTTGGCTTTTTTACTCTTTCTGTATGTTAACACTTTCCTTTGCTACAAGCTGCCTATCATTAGAGAAAAAACATGTTGATGTCCCCAAGAGACTGTGTTGCATGCCAGAAAGATGATGGTTTCCTGTTTCCGTTATTGGGGGTGAAGGGGTGTTGGACAGGGCAGCGCCTCTACCTTAGCTCGCCCCTGTTGGCTTAGGATTACCACATTCAACTTTCAACCTAATTTCTGAGCCCTCACCTCTGCATTACATTTTTTCAGGAGACCTCCCACCACTGAGATGTTTATTCGGAGAGTGATTTATAGAAAATAAAAGCTATTACTTACACCTCTCCTCAACCCCAAGGGATTTTGATAAACGACAGAGTGGGCCCTGGGAACGATTAGCTTAAAAATATGGCGGACAACGATGGATTTCAAGTGGTAAAGAAAAGTAAAGGTCGCAAACACAGGAATGACAAAGATAAAAACGGATCTTTAGCGAAATATCGGGACATCTCGAGCTCCTATGATTCAGAAAAGTGCGATATAAATGAGTTAAAGACGAAAATCGAGAAATGCAGGCAGGCAAAGGTTTACTTTTTTGTGAAAGTTTTATGTTTTGCCCAGACGATACGCTGAAGATGAAGGTTCTACATGATTAGTTAACTGAATTCATATATATTATTCATTAGGGAAGAAATTTCCGGGAGTGAATTTCTTTCAAATGTTCAAGGTAAAATACAAGAATTAGAGCATTGGCTGTCAACTTTTGTCAGCCCTCGAAAGCCCCTCACCACCCCCTACCCCTATTCATCCCTCCCCCCCCCCCCCCCATGCATCCTCACCACACCCTTTCCCTATCCATCTCAGTTATCCATCTGAGGGCCAGTTTATGAACACTGGACAAACCAGAAAGAGACTACTGCCTTAAATTTAAATATTTCATCAAGGATGATTTAACTGGACCTCCAAATAAAGAACAGGGCTCAGTTGTTGAAAGGCCGATTAGCTCTAACCCACGGTTAAATTTTAATCCAGGTTTCTAAATTTCTCGAATCAAAAGCAATTTTGGGAAAATTTTCCTAGTTCTTTTTAGGACATTCAATCATCAAATTGTAGACAGATGGAATTAAGCTGAATTTTCTTTCAGAGCTTTCAGATCTGAAATCAAATTTCACACTAACCCTGGGTTATCTTAATACAGCTTTGAACAACCCAGCCCAGCTCTGTAAGGGTGGCACAATTGCTGGTGATCCAGTGGTTTTCACTATGGCCCATGCTTCAAAAACACGTAGGTAACCAGAGATTGGCAATCAAATGTGACATGATTTAGCCGGACAGGAGGCATACCAGTTGGCTATATTTGCAATAGTTGAGGAGGTGAACAGAAAAGAGTCAAGCTAGTGGTCAGAGCAGAGCTGCAGCCCTGCATTGAGAGTCCAATCTGCTCTCTTTTCAACCATGCTATGTGCTAGAGTTACTTATTCATTAATTACTTGGCCAATGTAAGGATTGTTTAGGAGATGAGGTATAGACCACTTTCATAAATGGCTGCTGGAGTAATATTCTTTTGTTTAAATTTAAATTAGCCCTTCTGGCCTCACTCTCCTGTTCAAAATTCAAAAGAATACATTATCTCAAGCGAGGCCAGAAGGGCTAATTTAAATTTAAACAAAAGAATATTAACCCGGCAGCCATTTATGAAAGTGGTCTATAAGAGATGGAATACAAAGGATCCCTCCCTAACAAGCCTCAATTTTTTGTTTCTCTTTAGAACTGCTTTGTGATGGCCACTCTGTGAAGAATATCTGTTGTCCAGCTGAATCTGCTGTTAAACCAGATACTAAGGCCATCCCAGAGGAACCTGTTACTGATATTGTTTGTTATGGAATTGGAAAACTGTCTTCATGTCCTGTAGCTAGATACCAGTTTGCCTTTTTGCTGTTATTGAGAGAGTTGCTAAAGGTAGCTTTGTCTGGTGAAATCTTTAACTGTCTAAATTGCAAAGTTGCTGGGCACTTATTTCTCAATACTTGTTCTTAAGAAAGACACTAAATTCTCACAATGCTTCTGCACAAGTAATACAAATTGGGTGCTCAAAATTATCTGGGAAATCATAAAAATCTTTCTGGGTAACCTGTTATGTCCCAGTATTCCATCCAGGAGGACAAGGAATACTCTTTAAGCATAGGAACTGAGATGAGTATGGGTTGTATCTACCACTTGGTATCCTGATTAGACTTACAGCAGGTTATTGTATTTTGTCTAATTTAAAATACTATGGTATTTTAAACTTGCAATATTTTTGAAATATTTTGTTGAATGAAAGGCAGATTATGATTGAATTAAAGGGATCTTTTAGGTCTTGATTAGGTAAGTTTGTTTTGTGATTAATGACATTTACAAAACTTTTTTGTGACTAGATTAGTGGACTGTGTTTCATCTATGAACCTCATTTTTCACAAGATGATAAAGTAGTTGTGGAAGAGTTTGGATGTTCTCTTATTGATCACAATGAGGTAAGATGTCTTTCTAAAGTATCAGATGAAAGAATGACAAAAAATTGTGTCAGGTCCCACAGTTGATGGACACTGGAAACAGGAAGGAATAAAAACAATATTACACTTTCTAATTATTCTTAAGACTGTTTTTGGTTTATTTTGTTACTATGAAGGAAAGAGAAGGGTGGAAGACTTAACATTATTTTTCATGCTTCATTGTGGTAAACCCCTTTACAACAATGTTCTTTGGGCCAACTGGGGTCTAGGGCTATCCAATGTTATCATTCTTGGGAATAGATTTACAAGCTATCAGGAAAGGTAGGTGCCCTGCATAATTTTTTTTCATTTAGGCCTTTACCATCAACTATTTTTGTGCTCCATGGCCTTCCCTTTTGCGAAAGTGGTTTGGTTGGTTGGTTGGTTGGTTGGCCAAAAAATAGAGAATAGAAGATAAGAAATAATTTGTCAATTAATCCTTAGTTCAGGAAAATCTGGATAAACATGTTCACGTACTTTTGTTAAAGGAGACAGTAGTTTACCTTGATTAAACATTAAATGGCAAGTTTCAAGGAACATCAATGTTTTTTAATATTTTCCTATTCAGAATACCCTCTAGAAAGCTAAGAGAAGAAGCATTATATATTTACAATGTATCCTTTTTCCTCTATCTAATTTCCATCTATACAACCTTTTAAAATGTGAATTTACCGGTAAGCCTTCATGCCATAGCGTTTGGTGAAACAAAAGTGAAGTTTTCGAAGGAGAGACTTTGACTGTTAATAAGCTCCTATAGGTGGACTAAGTGTTACTTAAGAATAACAATAAAACTGAGGAATTAGTCTTCTAATAAACCTTGATCCTCAAGAGAGGTGTTACCTGTGCTTCCAAGATATTAGCCACTGGAAAAAAATTGGATTTTTCTTATTTCATATATGCTATCATTGAGCAACCACTCATCATATTAAGGCTTCTTGTGACCAACAACAACCATTTTGTCACTTATTTCTTTACTTTGTTGCCAGTTTACTTAGAAAATTGAATTGTACTAACAACGAAACACTAACTTATTATTACACTGTAATAATAGTTGTTGTTGTGGAGAAGCTTTGGTTTGTTGCCTATTTTCCTTTACCTGCAATCCTTCAGATTCTGCCATTTACAAGGGAGACACCAATACCTAACACTTTTCATCATAGTGATATCTTCAATGACTCTGGGATCCACTGGTTTTCGAGGGAAGTGCTGGCAACAGTACCAGATATGTTATGGAAGGATTGTGCTGAACCAGTGTACTCTGAAGATGACGATGAAATTGTGACATCTCACTAGACATTCCGGTTTTAAAGCTATTCCCTGGGTTTTAAAAATTTTGCCCAAATTTGCTCTTATACTTAAAATAATTCCCCCCCACCACGACTTCCCGCCCAATGAAACAAACAACATTTTCGCGAGGCCTTAAGTTACCTTAACTAGAACTTTAAAACAAATTTATGTTGTCGTGCCGTGATAATTAATAATAATAATGATAATATACAGTATTTATAGAGTGCTAATTCCTAATGGTCCAATTGGTTTTCACAAGATTTTTCACCACATTATATATTTTTTTCCGCGTCATCATCAAATGTAAATGACTTTACATATGTTCAGTGAAAAATAAAGCAAAGTTAAGCGGATCCAATAGTGCTGTAGTTCTGCGCTTTAATTTCTGTTCTCATGATCTACCATAACACCCTTAGGCGTTATACACTACATACATACATACATACATACATACATCTTTATTTAACAATGCAGGTTAGAAGGATTGGCAAGACCGAAGTCCTGATGTGGACCTGCCTAACTACAAATTAAATACAATCACAATAAAATATATAATAAAAATTGGAAAAACAGAGTGAAATTACTTCTTAAATACAATTCCAATTAGATAAGTTAAATACAAAACAATATTAAATTTACAACTAAAAATACAGAAAGTCATCATGTTTCTTTGAAACACAGCAGGAACCTTTGGCAAAATTTATGCTATTGAGAAAATACTTGTTAGCCTTAAGCTTAATCTTAAACAATCTTAAGTTAGCACATTTCTTGATATGATGGGGGAGAAGATTCCATGCCAAGGCGGCCCTATGTTTGAAAGAAGACCTGCCAATTTCAGATCTTGGTCTTGGCCCTTCTAAATTTAGAGAATTTCTTAAGCAGTAATTCGTTTTTGCCTTGGAAATTAAAATATTTAGATCCTCCGTATTTAAGCTATGATAGGATTGATAGGTCAGAACCAGCAGTCTTTTAACATAATACAAAGAAATGGGATTCCATTGCCTCAATTTCTTGACCTCATCAGCTGGAGTGGTCGTAGGTAGCTTGCAAACAATCCTAATTGCTCTCATATAACTAACTCAATATCTTCCATAAGTGATGGGGAAGCAGAGCCCAAAACAACAATATTATATACAACACTAGGAATAATTGAATTGAAATAAATAGATTCCAAGATGGACTGAGGCAGGAATTTGATTTGCTTCAAAACAGCCAATTTCTTGTTATATAAAATACAAACATTCCTAATTTCATCCTGCCAAGATAACTTATTGTCTATATAGTTAAGCCAAGACACTTAGATGAAGACTTGAGCTCGATGGTCTTGGTGCCATATCTTAAAGCTGGCAGAGGGACTATAAAGGTGGAKCTAGATATTATCATTGCTTCAGTCTTTGATTCATGTGCAATTAGTCTGTTGACTGTGCACCATACGTGTAGCTGGGATAGAATACATCAAAGTGAAGAGATGATCATGTCTGTATCCCTACCAATGGTATAAACTGTGGTGTCATCAGCAAACATATAGAGGTCTCCATAAGATATGGATTCAGGCAAGTCATTAACATATATTGAGAATAATCTAGGCCCCAGGATGGACCCTTGGGGCACTCCATACTTCACAAGTTGTAGTGCAGATTTCTTTCCAGATATCTGAACACTGATTTCGGTTAGACAAATAATTGGCAAGTCAAGAAAACAGATACCCCGATATTCCCATGGCTTTCAGTTTCTCCAACAGGATTGAATGGTTAACTGAGTCAAAAGCCTTGCCGAAGTCAACAAATAGTACACCCACTACCAAACCTTGATTCAGAGCTGACTTACAAGTTTCTGTCATATGAAGCAAGAGACCCTCAGTTGAGCGATTTTTTCTGAAGCCCCACTGGTTGCGACTTGATAAAGTGTGGAATTGCACACCACAGCCTCGAGAATTTTCCCAGGAATGCTAAGCAGAGATATCGGTCTGTAATTGTTCACATTGCTTGGTTTGCCTTTCTTGAACACAGGAGTAACACGAGATACTGTTTCCAATCACAAGGGAAGGATGGACAGATTAAGCTATTCTTATAAAGTGGAAGCAAGCTGTGGGTAACCAGATCAGTCAATACCATAAAAAGGTCCCTAGGTGAGACCAAGTCTGGACCCATATCCTTCTTAGGATTTGTTGCCTTCTGGGTAATACTCTTGACTAGCTCCCAATTAAAATCTGTGCAATCCTTACTAGGCGTAATCCTTGTAACGAAGGTCGATTGGGTTGACTCGTCTAGAGGATTTAACTTTGTTGTTAGGCTTTCAGTGACATTGATGAAAATATCATTGAAATGTTCTGCTTTCATTAGATCATCAGTCAGTAGCTTGTAATCCATAACTGCACCAAGCTTGGAAACTTTGTTTTTCCTTAGCACCTGATTTGTCAGCTTCCAGAATTCTTTAGGATTGGTTGACTTATAAAACTGTTCTTTCCAGTAGCAGCTTCGGCCCTCTTTGACAGATTTTTTACCTTGTTCCTTTTCACCCTATACTGACTCCAGTCACTGGATCTCCGGAGGTTTTAGCCTCACTTAAGAGCTTAAATCTTTTGTTCATTTCTTTCCTGATAGAAGAATCAATCCATGGGAGGGAATTAGATCTGATCTTTGTTTTCCTAGATGGTATACGGTGATCCATAATATCCTTGTATTAAAGTAGTTCCAGATGGAGTAGCAATCATCAATATCATCAAACAAATTAACAAGATGCTAAGTGTAATATTAAGAAGCAGGACGAGACAAATATAAATGTCAACAGTTTTAATCAAGATGGCGGATCTATCTCCACGTGCTAGTCACGTGATACGCATACGTAATCTACAGGGATACCATACTACACCTCCCCTTAAAGCTTTTACAGTAATCAAACAGACAATTATAAACGACATATCAAACAGTATAAGGGTCTACTATAAACAAAAGCAATGTTCAAATGTTCAACGTTCAAGTGTCCTGAATAAGTCTCTGCGGCGGTTTTACTACTCTCCCTGAGCGCGTCATGTGCACTTTCGGGGTGTCTGGTTCAGCTTTGTAGCTGCTCTCAGTAGGCTTGATCGCAGCTGTGGTCAGGTCTTTGCTGGTGGGCACTTTCGATTTTTTCCTCAGCATTTCTGTCTCAACGTTAGCTTCTGGTTGGGTGTCGGGTGTCTTTGTACAGGTATCTGCTGAAACTAGGGCTGCCCTGTTCCTTCGAAGCTGTGTTCCCTTGTCTGTTTCAACTATGTAGGATCGTGGTGATGAAGATGCCGCTAGGACTCTTCCCATCCGATCTTGATCGCGAATCCAAACTTTCTCTCCGCTCTGAAGTTCTGGTAGGTCTTTTGCCTTGTATCTGCGGTCATGGTTGCTTTTCTGGTTGCTGCGGTAAAGTTCCTCTTTTGCATCTAGTTTTGCCAGGTCTTTCAGTCGTAGGTTTGGTTGTAGATTGTCAGGGAAGGTTGGTAACTGGGTGCGGAGTTGGCGGTTCATCAGAAGTTCGCATGGCGCCAGGCCATTGTGAAGAGGTGCTGTTCGGTATGCTAGAAAACCGAGATAGGGATCATCGTTCTTTTTCAGGATATCCTTGACAGTACGTACCGCTCTCTCTACTTCACCATTTCCTCTTGCGTACGTTGGCGAGCTAGTAATATGAGTGAACCCGTAAATACCTGTAAACAGTTGGAAGGATTTACAAGCAAACTGTGGGCCGTTATCGGACACCAGTAAGTCTGGAATTCCGTGAGTTGAAAATATTTCTTTCAGGGCTTTGATTACTGACTCGGACAATTCACTGGGAAGTGCTTTAACTTCAGTCCACCTTGAGTAGTAGTCGACTACAATAAGATGTTTCTTTCCCTTTAGATCGAAGAGATCAGCGGCTAGTCTTTCCCATGGCCTGGATGGGAATGACGATGGCATCAGGGGCTCCTTGGGCACTGGTCTGTTCTTAGCGCACGTAAAACATTTCGTCACCATGTCTGTTATCGCTGTAGTAATCGCCGGCCACCACACAGACATCTTGCCTCGTGCTTGCGTCTTTGTTATCCCAAGGTGTCCTTGATGTAAGAGGTCAAGTATTTCCAGCCTCATTCCTGCTGGAATCACAATACGGTCATCATATAGTAGAATCTTGTCTATCACAGTTAAATGTTTCTTATTCTCCCAGTATGGACGGAGTATGGTAGAACTTGGCATGTAAGCCGGCCATCCTTCTAGGCAGTACTTCTTGATCATCCTGCATACTTCATCCTGGTCTTGGGCTTCACTGATATCTTGCAGCCGCTTAGGCGTTGCTGGAAGCCCTGCTACGATCTGTTGTGTGAAGCTTTCCACTTCCTCCACAAGATCTATGTTCTCAATTACATTCTTCTCGATAGGAGCGCATACGTAATCTACAGGGATACCATACTACACTAAGGAGCGTGCTCAAAGTCTGTATTAAGATGTTTTTTGTCTACTTGTTTATATTTCTTGGTTGAAATTACCAGTGGCTTAGGATTGTTTCTAGCCACTTTAAAAACTGCATAAATCAGATGGTGATCAGATATTCCTAAGTCAGTGGAACCAGATATTTGAATTTTCGCTGGCTGTTGTTACTATGAGATCAATAAGAGACTTTGAATCCAGTGTTATGCGTGTAGGGCTGTCGATGATGTTCTTCAGACCGTAACTGCACAGAATCCTTTTGAAGCGTTTTCCAAAATGGGAATCATTTGAATCCAGGCTGGGAGTCATGTCACAGTTAAAGTCGCCCACCAAGATGATATTTTTCCTTTTCATCCAAATCTCTGTGATTTGATTTCTAAAATCGTCAAAGAAGCAACAATCACTATAGATACAGCCAACCAGGAAAGACTGAGATCTCACAGTAACGTTCAACCAAGTAGCTTCCAAATTAGGATGATCCCATGTAGTAACCTGATGAGCAAGAAGACTTTTCTTGAAGGAGTAGATTAAGACACCACCGCCGCGGTTGTCACGGTCATTTCTCACTAGGTGGAAGCCGGGAATCCTGATCCAATTGTCGGATACGCTCTCACTAAGGTGGGTCTCTGTAATGCCAAGAATATCAAAATTGACCACCTCCAATAGAAGCTGGACCACCAGAAGTTTGTTAACCAGGCCATTGACATTGGTGAACAAACATTGGCGTTATACACTAATTATACAGAACCAACACATTTTTAAGGTCGGCACACACGAGGGGACTAGTCCCTGCGACTAGTCCGTGCGACTAGTCCCGGCGACAAGTCTTTGAAGGGTTTACACGAGGGGACCGGTAGCAGGGACTAGTCCCTTAAGGTGTTCACACGAGGGCACTCAATTGCACAAGAACATAGGAAAATTAAGAGGCAAAAGATGTTTCTTAGTCTGGGGCGTTACACGAAAACAATGAAAATTTGGCAACTTTTCATTGTAGCACTATTAAACATCAACGCAAATGAACTACACTTATTCAGTCGAATTATTCATGTTTTTACGTTCCGTTTTNATTTTTACCCTATTTGACTGTGTCTGTTAAAAATAAAATAAAAAAAACAAAAACGGAACACGTAAAAGCATGAATAATCCGACTGAATAAGTGTAGTTCGTTTGCGCTGATGTTTAATAGTGCTACAATGAAAAGTTACCAAATTTTAATTGTTTTCGTGTAACGCCCCAGACTAAGAAACATCTTTTGCCTCTTAATTTTCCTATGTTCTTGTGCAATTGAGTGCCCTCGTGTGAACGCCTTAAAGGACTAGTCCCTGCTACCGGTCCCCTCGTGTAAACCCTTCAAAGACTTGTCGCTGGGACTAGTCGCACGGACTAGTCGCAGGGACTAGTCCCCTCGTGTGTGCCAACCTTAAGGGAAATCTTTGAGGAGCCCCCTCTCGTAACATGTGGCCGGGTAAAACTGGCCACATGTTACGAGAGGGGGCACACATTTAGCATTTAGCACATTTAGCTCAATTTTTACTTTATTGTAAAAATTGAGCTAAATGTTCTTTCAAAGATTCGTTTACGAACCTGAAGAGCCTCTCAAGTCTGTCAAACCTCTTCTGAGCTAAGCCTTTGCCAAACGTTTATTCAACGTGGAGTACAACGTAAAACACAGACGTGTCATTCTTCCCACTGGTGGAATAATTGTATTATTTATAATTTGCAGTTTTAAAACTGGAATGTATAATATTCAGTTTTAATTCTAACCCGTTTTTCCTAATCCATTCATCAAATTCCACCCCATAGAAAACCCTCAGGGCTTAAAAAAAAGGGCCCTTTATATACATCTCATTGAAGCACAATATATCACTTTGTTTTCTGACGCGTTCTTCAAAGCATGCCGATAAAGTGGACCTTAGTGGCCCTGTATTCTGAAGTTATGCCGCGTTCAAGCGGATCACAATATACGAGAAACTGTCTTGAACTTGTCTTGGTTGCCATTACTTTTCCATTACTAAGCCGTGAGTAAGTGACAGTTTTTCACAGATTACAACAACTGATCGATTGTGAAGGTAAGGAACGGAATCTTTATACAAGCATCATTTTAGACTCGATGTTTCTCGCTCCTGTGAATATTGTTATGTTGGTGGGCGAGGGGTGTTAATGCGGAATGACAAGACAAACACGTAAAGGGTAGTCAATGTTTTCCGTGAAGGATTGTGTGGTTAAGGATATTTCGACATAGAGTGGTATTTGGAAAAAAATTCTTGGGACAATTTATCTTTGGAGCAAATCTCTTCACAATGCGCTCTGACTTTCATTTTCAACTGAATGACTTTCTAAAGCCTATCGTTTCTTGGAAACCGGTAAACAGTTTTGTTCTTCCAGAGTGCGTCTTCACAATAAACTTTACGTGTAACTGCCAACAATGTCAGGTTTCAACACGCGAACGTTTTAAAAGTTATATACATAACGGTTGATCGTGTTGAAACCTGACTTTGTTGGCAATTACTTTTGTTGAAACGTTGTATGACTTGTGGACACGAAGGACGGAAAAATTTTGAGTTGAACGCGGTAAAGAAACGGCGATTTTAACTTGGCGAACTCTGATACTCCAAGCGTTCAATTTTACCCAGAAACTTAAACAAATGAAATTAAACAGAGAAAAATTATACGAAAAAACCTAACAGAATGTAAATAAGCGTGCGTTTAAGTAAACAGAAAGTGACCAACCAGGCGCAGCCACAAAAGCAACAGACACAGCTACATAGAATATATTTTACTTATATGATAAAAAAAGTCAAATATCTGTCCTCCAACAGATCATAAGTAAGAAGTAATTAAAATGTGTGTTATTCAGCTTATTAAGAATATGAATAACACCAGATTCTCGAAGCCAAGCAATAAGAAGAGTAAGGCATGAAGTGCGTGGAACAAACATTTCGATATTGGGAGTGAAACCGGCGATGAATGAATACCACGTTTTACCATCGCAGATTACTGATCGGAGCAGATTGCACTTTAAACACCTCCGTTTAGCGTGATACGTTTGAAGACCTTCAAAAAAACCCTAAAACCTGAGGAATTTGTTTTACCGTTTGTTCTATAGTTGTGTGATGGGATGTACCTGCGGTATCCGGTCTTTTCGTCCAAGAGTCTTTTCGTCTAAAGTCTTAGGTCCATTCGTCCAATATCAAGTTTTTTCGTCAAACTTACAACATTATTTTAAATGAAGTTGTAGCGCAAAATATTTTATTAGATAATGACAAAAGTAAAGACTTGCCGTTTAATTATTTCGCACAAAAGAAATGGGAATATTAGGCTTGTTGTGAAGTGTCTGTTAGGCGTAATAGACAACCGAGTGTAACATCACTAAATGTCCGACATAACCAACAATATAGTCTAACATGATAAAGAAATAAAACTAAGCCAAAAATTACCCCAAATTAGCATCTTCTCTGTGTATTTATCGTAATTTAGGACGTTTAATTCGTAAAAGAGCATTAGTGACTAAAGCTATCGGAACCAAAATGGCAACGGCTCGCACTAATAAGTTCATTATATAACCTTGCCTAACCTTCTAAAAGATAATTATTTGCTTCGAGAAAAGACTTAACAATTAGCCGAACCGACTTAGATGAAAAAACTTTTGGGACGAAAAGACAGTAATTCGTACCTGCGCATGTCTCATCGAAAGAAGTGAAATTTGGTATTTTGGTTACAATGAATATAGGAAGTTCATATATTTTGAACTGCGGTATTAGATACGTAGGATGCACGATCCTCGCAGAAGAGAGCGCCATTTATCCAATAGCGAAAATCAGACCTGAAAAAAATCAGGCCTGTACGGGATTCGAACCACTGACCTCTGCGATACTAGTGCAGCGCTCTACCAATTGAGCTAACAAGCCAACTGGGAGCAGGCCATCAAATTAATTCGACATAAACCCGTAGATGATAAATCAAACAACAACAAACATATGAAACATATGTATGAACTGCGGTTATGAAACGTATATGTGCACGATCCTTCGCAGTAAAGCACTATTTGAGCAATAGTGAAAATCAGACCTGAAAAAAATTTCAGGCCTGTACGGGATTCGAACCACTGACCTCTGCGATACTAGTGCAGCGCTCTACCAATTGAGCTAACAAGCCAACTGGGAGCAGGCCGTTAAGTTGATTCGTAATAAACCCGTGAAAGTGATAAATGAGATACAATGAATATATGGATCGTGCATCATACGTATTTGGTATTTTGTCGTTTATCTCTGTATATCGATATATTTTCATTATTACTTCCACTGCAGAGTTTGACATCGTAACGATTTCGAGTGTAATTGATTCAAGGCTTTTCTGAGCTTCGTCTTTCGAATGATGCAGCACGTCTGAGGACTCTTAATAAACGAGGTTCCTTTCACCTCAGGTAGATTCTCTTCCAAATATTGCAAAATCGCGTGTCAAGAGTGAAAGTTCCAGCTATTTCTCGGTATTCCGACAGAAATAAACTATTCTTTTAGTCTTATATGGTACATACTAAAACAATTTTTCACCTCTCCTTCGGTGAATCATTGACTAGCGCGGAGCTAGTCTGAATGCCGGATTTAATTAACATCGGCATCATTTTTGACTTTTTTCTCTAAAATTCTGCTTATTGTTGGGTGTTCCAATTAATGAATAGGTCGATGAATAGTTCTTCATTTATAGTTTGGAGTATCCAAGGAACAAGGGAGCTTGTGTAATAAAAATTTCATCAACTGACGAATCAGCGTGACTAATACGGGTTGGTGTTACACCTACTGGAATTTAACTACAGAACAATGACAATTTCACTCTAAGATTTCCTTCATGTGGAGGGTTCCAATAGAAGTGTCAATAAAGGTGATTACTGTGTATTCAATAACGGAGTGAACTCTGATGTTACAGACGTTGAGTTTTTTTACCGAAAAGATTCAGCCTACAAAACTTCCCTCTATGTTTCATAAAAAGTCTTCATTCTTGGTAAGTGAAACAAATGTTTTCAGACTTCAGCGCTTCAAACACGGTGCAACCATGGGCAATCTGGTTTGTCATGAATATTTATCGTGGCTGAGAGAGAAAAAACTCGCTGAATCGCTCAAAACTAAAACAAAAATGCGTGAAATAATGCATTTTAAGTGAATGGAATTTATGATATGCTTCAGCTTGGGCCATGCTAGGGAAAATCACTTTCTGGAAAGCTTTTTGAGTCTTCACTCATGAAAACCCGGCGAAAAATGGTCGTCGAAAGGCCAGGAGAATACCGAAATTGCATAGATACAAAACCGAGGCACGAGAAAATTAATTTAAAAAAGAATGAATACATTTGGTAAGCTATTTCCTAGCTGAACTTTACTCCATGTTTTTAATAATTCAGATTTAGGATTTATGACTTCAATTTGTGTTTTACATCGTTAAGCATTTTTTTTAAAATGCTTAATTTTTATGGTCCTTTCGCATGACCGAGAAATGAGTATTTCAGCCGTTGAAAATTTGTGGTTACCGTATTCTCTTGAATAGAAGCCGCCCTTGATTAGAAGCCGCCTTTGAATAAAAGCCGCAGAAATTTCGCGAAGAGCAAAAATAGAAGCCGCCCTTAAATAGAAGCCGCCCTTAAATAGAAGCCGCCCTTGAATTAGCCTCCCACGCAGACGTTCTTTGGGTTCGTCACGCAAATGTTTTCAGGAAGATTGCGTGACTAGCCTAAAGAACGTCTGCGCAGGAGGCTACCCTTGAACAGAAGCCGCAGAAATGTCGTGAAAAGAAAAAATAGAAGCCGCCCTTGAATAGAACCCTCAATAGAGAGTAGATAAAAAACTGAAAATTGTTTCACTGTAACCTCCAAATAAAAGCTAACAAATAAAGCTTCATTGCGTTGAATCTTTTTCAGTCAATCAGCGGGAAACCAGTTTGCCGAACATCGAAACCGAAGCTCGAAATGCTTGGTAGACCGAATGTCACGTTATTTACATTTCATAAGAACTATTTTAGCTTCGGATTAGAAAGAGATGGAAAACTTTAGGTCGCGGGCTTTGGACTTAGTACATCTCCTTGAGAGCTCTTGAAGTTCTTGAGCGTCCACCCTGACTGACGCATGGGTTCTGTCCTCGTGTACCGGTTCACAAGAGCCGATACAAAAGACCGAACAATACACAACAGCTAACCAATGACTCCTAAACAAAGAAAGAACAATGGTAATTCCCTTGTGAACCGGTACACCAGGACAGAACCGACGCATGTGAAGCTACGCGCCATAATGATTTGGCAATTAAGCAGGGCACAATTGGCTGTTTGACCAAACCGCCCTAGCTTTGCACCCACCATTCTTTTTGGAAGGTGTCAGCCAGATTGTTAGCTATTACTTGGTGCAAAAGAACGTATCCCATCAATAAAAGAGAGATTCCGGCCTGCGGAAAAGTTATGAAGTACTCGAAGTGCTCGCTGCTCGCCATCTGTATTTTTCTAAAGTGCTCGCTGCTCCCTATCTGTATTTTCTTATGTGCTTGTGCTCGCAAAAATAAACACACTGCTCGCAAAGACCATTCGATACCCCTAGGTTGAACATACGGTGTTTAATATCAACTCACCTTAAAAACATTGTTATAGATCGCAAACGCCCTATTCTTTTTCTTTTGTTTATTGTTGTTTTACGAACAGCACTAATTGCAGTAGAAATTTTGCGTGCGCCATGCTTTGTGTCATTTCGTAACGTTACGTAAAATAGCATGTATTTAAACCGTATTGTTCATCGTAGTTTTTTCAGTTCAGTTTCCCTTTTGAGTGTTCAGTTTTACCCAGAAAGTTCTATTGTATTTCATAGTACCGCACGTCGTGCAGCTTTTTCGCAGTAAAGCAGTAACTCGTCGGCATCACGACAAATTTTTAACCGTTTCGTTTCGTTCGTTCTGATCTTGAGATTATATATTTTGTAAGTCGCGTTAAAAATTGTCCTGGAGTTTTCCTCGCTGAGAGTTAGTCGCCCATGGCAGTTCCAATTATAATCAGTTAAACAACAACAAACATATGAAACATATGTATGAACTGCGGTTATGAAACGTATATGTGCACGATCCTTCGCAGTAAAGCACTATTTGAGCAATAGTGAAAATCAGACCTGAAAAAAATTTCAGGCCTGTACGGGATTCGAACCACTGACCTCTGCGATACTAGTGCAGCGCTCTACCAATTGAGCTAACAAGCCAACTGGGAGCAGGCCATCAAATTAATTCGACATAAACCCGTAGATGATAAATCAAACAACAACAAACATATGAAACATATGTATGAACTGCGGTTATGAAACGTATATGTGCACGATCCTTCGCAGTAAAGCACTATTTGAGCAATAGTGAAAATCAGACCTGAAAAAAATTTCAGGCCTGTACGGGATTCGAACCACTGACCTCTGCGATACTAGTGCAGCGCTCTACCAATTGAGCTAACAAGCCAACTGGGAGCAGGCCATCAAATTAATTCGACATAAACCCGTAGATGATA